AGGGGAGAGTGCTACAATTGTAGCAAGAATGCATCACAGGTGTGCTACAACTACAGCAAATAATGCATTACAATGACATGAACCTGTGTGCAGATGTGGGACGAGGATACTGTGTGGAATGTCTCCCGTGCAAAGGTTAGCCGATGCAGTGGTGGCCAAATCAGGAAAGGTTTAAGGTCTGCGTAAGTAATTTACAAGAGGTCAAGTCGACATTGACAACTAGGCTTGATACCAGCCTGGCTTATATAACCATGGATGACTACGTCAAGATTTCCCACTCTCAAAGGATGTACGTCAGACTGGTCATGAGTCTAATTGACAATGACATTTTAGAATTGAACATCCCTGAAGACTACTGAGTATCTACTTTCACAGAGAGATTGAAATGGTAAGTGTCTGGTTTGCAATAGATGATCACATACTGATCTCCAGTCCAAACCCTGTCTTCAAGTGGTAATCCCATAAACCAGACATCCTCCATTTGGTCACACCTAGGTGCGTATCTCGACAGTACTACTAGAGTGCTAGCTGAAATACAATGTTCACTCATTTGAATTATATTGCTGGTGAGAATCTGATGTAGGAGTCGAGTTCAAATGCAAGTGCTACCAATTTTACAGGTTTCTACTTGTACAAGAATATCCCAACTAGTATTCTATTTCAACACATCTGAAGATGTAATACTTAATACAGCATGCACAGCAACTTCATGGCCTCCCATCAGAGAATTCATGAGTCTACCCAGGGTGCTTTATGTTGATTGCGGTGGTTTTCTGACATTATACATGGCTTTATATGACTTTATATTCCAATATAAAGAAAACCTTTCCTACATATGATCATATATTGGCATATATGACAATATCTTCAGTTTATGAGTTGTCTGATGTGCCCCCCCACCACCCCTGTGACTGGATAAGCACCCACTCATCCTGGAACTGTATTTCACCACCCAGCAAGCTTTCCATAGATTCAAATGTCCATTTATCTCATCTCATCTCCATCATGCTTTGGGACCCTAAGTTGACAACTTCAAGACTTTGATTCCAACAGATCCTTCAAATCTTTGTATGTTGTCCTGGAGATAAATATCACCCAGATGATTTCTAATCGCACCCAGCTAGTACTCTCAATTTGACCATTTTATCATGAATATCACAACCTTCATGAATGAGTGAGGAACAATGTCGGTTTTTCTCACTCTTGTCCCTCTCTCACATTTTGACCTTTTTGACAGTTCTTTCATCATTTGAAGGAACTTGGGTGAGGCTGTCCCAAGTTGCTGTCAAGGGTGCTCAATATAACTCCAGTGAATGTCAGCCTCATCTGAAATGTTTGCAAGGGACCCAGGTTGATCTCCTCACATATATCCACCAATTACTAGACAGAGAAGAGAAGAATCAATTTATATGGCTGCATGGCATGGCAGGCATCAGAAAGTCTGCCATCACATTCACTGTAGCTGAAAGGATGAAAGGTCTAAAAGTGACAGAGGAGACAAATATCAAAAAGTGGCTAGTGGGGACATTCTTTTTCTCACACAAGCACACCAAATGTTGCACCACTGGATATTTCTTTGCAATGCTTGCCTACCAGCTTGCCAATAATTTTCCATCCATCTGGAGGGATGTAAACAGAGTCATCTGTGACAATCCCACTCTACTAGACCCCGATACACCTCTCTGTGACCAGATGGAGGCTTTTTTGCTCAAACCTCTCCAGTGGCTTCAATCTAGATTGTGTGAGTGTCTGTCTTTGACCTTTGTTATTGATGCCCTTGATGAATGCACATCCAAACCCAAGCTTATTGATCTCATCCACTCCCTCACATGGGCTCTTTGTGAGCCTGATCTTCCCATGACCCGTGTTCTACTCACAAGTCACTCGGAACTGCATATTTGTAAAGTCTTTCATGACGATGAGGTGTGACCGTTGTTGTGTGAAATACCAGTGCAAACTTCTGGGGAGGGTGTTGCTACCATCATCTCACTTGATGGCGCCAATGTCAATGCTGATATCTATATTTTCCTGCAGCATTCCTTCACAGAGCTAGCAAATTGCCACCCCAATTTCCCTCAGCCAATGATGGATGAACTCGCACAGCTGGCAAGCCATGCTGGCAGACACTTCATCATGGCATCCACAATGGTGAAGTTTATCATCGATGATGAAGATAAGGATCCCCATGATCAGTTGCAGCTGATGCTGAAGCTGATGAGTGAGCTGCTACCAGGAATGGAGGTGTACAAGTTATACAACCGTATCCTCTCCACATGCACCAACCCCATGTGAGCATACCTGCACTTGTCCATTGTTGCCACGCTGGCAGACCCTCTTCCCATCTTGCAAATCTCTTCACTTCTTGGCCCTGGTTTGGGCAGGGATGTGGAGACAACTCTGATGCAGCTACAGTCTATTGTGGATATCCCTGCTGACAGCATTCTCCCTGTGAATATCTATCACTCATCCATTCGCGACTACATTTCCGACCCCTTAAACTGTGGCCTCCCTCAAGTATACAATATTGCACCACCCCACTCCCTGCTCGCATATTCATCTCTTTGCTTGATGACGGGGATGACGGAAAAGATGGCTCTCTTGGATGCACTCTCAGAACTGAAGCAACAGTGCCAAGCTATGCAACCTGAGGACCCCCATAAATTAAAAGCTTCCCTATCCTTCCTTGTTCGGCCACCAGAGCCACTGTCAGTTCTCATCTGTATGCTATGACTTCAGGGAGATCATGCTTCAGATTTACAATATTGGCTAGGGACTGTGGACAGGCATGCCTGGGTGCAGACCACAAATGGGTGAGACTGGCTGCAGACTGAGGGAGGACAAGACTGGCTGCAGACCAGGGGATGAGATTGGCTGCAGATCAAGGAAGGACAAGACTGGCTGCAGACCCAGGGAGGATGAGAGTGGCTGCAGATTGAGGGATGAGAGTGGCTGCAGATTGAGGGATGAGAGTGGCTGCAGACAGAGGGAGGACGAGACTTGCTGCAGACTGACATAGGAGGATACTGGTTGCAGGCCCAGGGAGGATGAGACTGGTTGCAGACCCAGAGAGAACAGTGCTGGCTACAGACCCAGAGAGGACCAAACCAGCTGCAGACCGAGCAAAGACCAGACTGGCTACAGACTGACATAGGAGGATGCTGGTTGCAGACCCAGGGAGGACAAGACTGGTCACAGACCCAGAGAGGACAGTGCTGGCTACAGACCCGGAGAGGACAAAACTGGCTGCAGACCAAGCAAGGACCAGACTGGCTGCAGACTGAGGGAGGATGACACTGGTTGCAGACCCAGACAGGACAAGACTGGCTCCAGATGCCCTGTGGCCAAGCATGGCAATCCACTCCTGCGGGGTTTGTGTGGGCGACTATGGAAGAATTCTTGAGTACATTGGAAGCCATCAGCAACTATATCATTGTCCCAAAATTGGCTTTGCTGCCAACCTTCAAAGTAGTCCAACAGCTCAAAAGCTTACTGGATTTCTTGATGTTTCTGATGTTCCTGGCACTTACACCCCAAGATCATTTCACCTCTACATCACCAGAAGTTCCTGACAGGGAAATCATCCGTGCCATGAATCTCTTTTTAGCTTTTGCAAATGAGGCACAGGAACGAAGTCAATCATCTTCTGGCGCTCTCAAGTATGCATCTCAAAACTGGGTTGTTCACCTGTCACATGCTCCAAATCCATGGGATGGCACTCTCAACCATGTATTCCAGGTTTTCTGGAATTGTCATCTCCTTTCTTGGTTCAAACAGCAGTGGTGTTTGAAGGGACTGTGGTCTTGTCTTGATATTTTATCCAAGGGACAGACACTTGCAAATGTTATTGCCTTGCTTCAGGTTTGATTATTTCTTTTTTCATTTTGTGAAACCTCTTTTAATCATCTCTCATCCTCAGTTCGAACCTTCGATGCACAGCCTAATGTAATGAATGGTTGTCAGCCATCAATCCCAATTCCCGGCACACAACAACTGAAGCTCTAACTAATCACATTTCCCCTCTCTGAGGCCCAAGGGCCAATACCATTGTACTCCATGTTGGCACATCCAGACAGCAAACTTCGGATGAGTTTCTGGTCAATAGCAACAGTGCTGTAAGCCTGGCACTTACTACATGATAGCGTACTTCATGCTGATTGGACACCGCACATTATGTGTTCCATGTTTGGACTGATGCATGCCAACTCAAATATATAGGTTCACATGCACACTTGTATCTTATTTCTTTCTTACCATAACGTCAATCATATGCTTTTCCACATCACTGTTTGTCCGTTAGTGTTTGCCATCGACGTGATGACTTTCCAAGTGCACTCGAATCAGACACCTCCAATAGCCCATCAAAACGTCGGAAATGAATCAAACAGTGTTTGCAACATCCTGACACTGATAGCATATGTGAATACCTGCATACCCTTCTGCAGAGCAGAATTTCGGGGTTTGAAGCTTGAACTAGAACTGACCATACAGTTGAAAGAGGAGGGAGACTCATTGGATAGTACAGTCCTAAACAGGCACTTGAGCCAGCAAAACTTCACTGGCCTCCTGTTGCACAACAAAGAGGTATTATTGAGATCCATCTGGTACAAACTCATAAGAAATGTTCATAGATACATAAAATAAATTGTTGAGACCATCAATTGATGTATGAATCCATTGTAAATGTATCATTGTTTTCGGTCTTTATCACTGGTCCACTGTCACTTGAGCCAGCACCAAAAGAAGTAACTCAGAGAGATTAGCATTATCTTTACAATCAGTAATGTTAATGACCGACTATTCACTCCCACCATCAGACTCATCACTGTCATTCTCATCAGCATCTTCTTCATCACTGCCATCTTGTTGGCCCTCCTCGGATGCCTCTGGATCATTCAGTGTTGGTCTTGGCAGCAGTGCTTCCAGTTTCCCAAGTTTTGGCTTGTTCCATGCTGGTCTCTGTCTTTCCAACTTCGCTCGATCTCTTTCTGCCTCCCACAGCTTCACTTGATCTCTGTACACTGTCCTGTGCACTTCACGTAAATCTTGAGTGTCTTGTGGTTCAGTGGGAATGCTCTGCTTGTGAGATTGAGGCAGTACAAAATGACCGTGTCCTCTTCTTCAGGCTTCAGCCAGGCCTTTGTCTCCATATTGATTTGATGGCAGCTTTGACCTCCTTTGAGTCGTTGGGAGACTGTGTTGTGGTTAACAACAATGTGCTTCTTGTGTTTCGTGAACCAGTCTTCTTTGACATCCTCACAGATCCTTTGTAAGCTTCTCCATTCTTCTTTTGGCTTGTCCTGCTCATTATTATATGCATTGACAGCAGCAGTAATTGCTCTTTCTTTTTCCTGGCTGTCAAGCTGCTTTTTCTTGGTCTGAGAATGTGGGCGACGCATCTTTTGGATGAGAGTGGGCAAGCAGCACGTTGGACACCTTTTCCAGTCTTACCAGCAAATTGAAGAGTCTAAACCATATACGGCTTATCATGTGTCACTGATAACACATTAAGATATGACAGTGTACATTTCATGACATTCCACCAGCATCGCACTGGCAGACCATTATATGCAGTATTTGTACTTTCTCTTTGATGAGGTTGTTGGTAGGAGTTATGTCCATTGATTTCATGAACTTGGGTGCCGAGGATAAATTAATATGGTCTTGTAGCACCAAAATAGCGAGATTTCCGGTACATTACAACACACAGTGCAAGATCATAAAACATATTTAAGCCAAGCAGAATCATATATGGAAGATGACTACGAGGCAATAAAATGTTAGCCTGCACTTTAGCCAAATATTGCGCAAGTGTTGTGATACAAGTGTTTGGCTCAAGTGACGGTGGTGGCTCAAGTGCCCGTTTTAGACTGTAGATAACGCAGGCTGAGCCTACGACACTGCACGTATTTCTATACAATTTAATCGTATGCCGTGCCACCGCCCAGTTGGACCCAAATTGACTCTTGCGATTGACGCCTGGTTTTCGAGGGGCTGAAATTGACCCCGTCATTCACGGTTGAATTGCAGTGACTTACAACTGTAGCGGCTTGCAAGTCACTACAATTCCGCTTGACTCGTACTACTAGTACTCACGCAGATTAACGATAAAATAATTCAAGTTAGTTGTATGAAGAACATTTCTCCCGATTAGAACAACTCTTCATGATCATTGACCGTTTGAGATTCACGTGTTTTACTGTGACTCACTCAGACTCGCACCCGCTTCGCTCTACCCCAGTACTAGTAACTGGTACTTGCCAGTGGTTTGGGGTGATCAATTGATCATCGACACGAGGGTGGACGGAAGGGGATATGCGGTGTGGCTGAAGGAGTTATCAGAGGCATTTTTGAAAGTCCGGCAGCAGTAAGAATCGAAGGTCTCAATCTTAGCTCCTCGCGTTCGAGTTATCGCATTCGATTCTTCAAAGATAGGCAAAATCTGACATATCGACCAGGTCTCTCATATCGGACATTAAACATCGGCGGCCGCAAGTACAGGGATCGAGGCAAGTTATATACATTTAGGTATTTTATATCCATTTTACTCATCGATGACAGCCTTAATAGGGGAACAAACCGAGAGGACGGGCGCACATGCCGCTAAGATGAGTCAAATGTTATGGTGAACGAGGACTCCACACGAGCCGGATCATCAAAGACCATCATGATAAAATGACGATCGTTGAGCAGATGCTGTAGACAGACCTATTGAAGAATGTCTACCCGCACCTGGTCTACACAGAGCACAGGCAACTCCAGAACATGTGGGTTTTGTGCACCGTTGTTTTTCGGACAACAATTAACTTATCATCATCCTCGTGCATGATGACGATGGCTGAGTAGCATCGCCAGACGTAGACTTCTTCGTATCAAGCGCCCTCCGCAGGCAACCTTCAGAAAACTTTGTCAATCTCGAACTCCTGTGCGTTGTTTCGACTCAGCGTTACGTATCAACCGATATACCCTCATATATGCCAAGGCGAGTGGCTGTTGAAATTTGTGTCATGTTGGAGGCCCGGCTTATCACCCCTATTAAGAGAAGAATTCGAGACCTGATCATTCGACATTTGGACCTATCCAGACTGTACGGGGATCTGCCTCAATCTCGCTTGGATTTTTTAAAACGCGAGGTAAGAAATATTCCATTGTATTTTGACAGAGCGCCGGCATGTTCGGGTCTGAATCTGGATTGCAGGTTCTATTGGACGCAGAATTATCGTTCCTGACACAGTACGAAGACGGTTGGGCCGTGGATGTACTGGTTCGTAACCTGTATTTCCGGCGTTGTAGAATGATAGAATACAAGGTGATTTTAACCATCTTCTGAGGATTGTTAACAGATTGTGCTAATGTAAGACAAACAGCGGAAACTGGGTTGGAGTGCACCGGTTTGGATTCCC